CTCCCCACTGGGAGGCCTTCTGTACCAATACAACACATAATATTGGAACCATATTGGAACCATATTGGAACCATATTGGAACCCTGGAACCATATAAACAATCCAGTTTCATTGCTTTGATGTTATTGGTTGAGATTGAATGATGTCCAATCATTCAATCTTTGATGATTATTGGTTGTTATTGCTTTGATGTTATTGATTGATGTTATTGGTTTCATGTTATTGGTTGAGATTGCTTTGATCTTATTGGTTGATGTTATTGGTTGAGATTGAATGCTTTGATGTTATTGGTTGAGATTGAATGACCTTTTAAAACGTACTAGACAAAAGAAATAACAAGAATGATGGGCTGAAATGATCTGTAAGGGAGTTGGTTACTAGGGCACGAGTTAAAGCCTCAGTCAAAGCAAAAGGAATAAAAAAACTTGTTCCTTTCTCTTTCCCCTTTTTCCTCCAAAGAGTGTCTGTCATAATTAGCCATTGTTTATCCCCCTGCCCCCTTCCCACAATCTCCCCTCAATTCTAGACTGTCCTCAGTTTCACTATCAGCAACTGTTCCTACCAGGGAAGACAGAGGCTATCAGTTTCTATAACACGCTGAGAAGAGTCATGTTGGCATCTCTGTCTCTAGGAAAATAATCTCCTGCTCTGAGCCTGGAATTCAGTCTTACTCAGTTTGCCGATGTCTCAAAGCATGTGGTAGAGAAATGTTGTCAGACCATATCCTGCTCATACTTGCATAGACAAAGTTGAGCCATTAGTTGTGTTTAGGATAGCCACTTTCCTCCTGAAAAAGTTGTTCTCCAGAAATTTGGGGACCATGTAAATTTATTCTCAGATTTAGTATGACATTAAAAAAATATAATACCAGTGTTTTCTTTCCCAAATAAAGAAAAGATACTTTAAACTGAAATGCAGCTAAGGCTCTATATCCTTGTATGGGTATAGATAAGATACTTTTCCACAAAGAATTTCATGGAATACTGGTGGCCATGCGTTCTTTTCTGTTTATCTTTCCCTCTTGGTTCATGTTTTCAAACAATTTGTTTTGAAGTCCACTCCCTTTTCTGAATGTCTTGGGCTTCTGGTTGTGATCTAAGTAATTACATTTCATTAGGCAAAAGAAAATTTTCATTTCATTCTATGTTATTTGCGCTGGGCCCAGCTATAACAGAAGATCACTTCTATGATGAGATGTTATTACCATGATTCCAGGTCGCTAGCCAATCTGTGAGATTAGGCAAGAATTACCTTTTTTTTCCTCTATCCTCAACTCCAGCCCCTCACACTGACAACTAAAAAGAAGAAATCTTGGACCCACCATACCATATTTATCATCTCCCACAATTTCATTTGAAGAAGCTAGACCCACTTGAAATGATCATGTTTGATTAACAATAAAAACAGTAGGTAAAATTTACTGAACTTTTTTTTTTTTTTACTAGAACTTAGCATGTTCTAGGAACTTCGTGCACAGAATCCTACTTTATCCTCGCCTTGTGGAAGAGGTGAACTTTGTGAGAGGTTGTTATTTCCCCCACCCCTCCTATTTTATAGAGGGGAGACAGACCCAGACACTTGCTCAAGACCACAGAGCTAGTAAATGGTGGACTTGGGATCTAAAAGATTTTTAAGAGCCTGAACTTTAATTATTACATGCTACTTCTTGTTAGATTCCTTCACCTTCTGCTTCTCTTTCTTTCATGTTTTCTTCTAAATTGAAACATAAAAATTACTTAACTGCTGAGTTGAAAGAACTGTTACTGATGTTGAGAGATCTAGTACCTAAATAGCTTTTATCCACCTTATTTTTTAACTCCCTTTTGTTGGATATAAGTTACATGAAGTAATATGTCACATCTCAAGTGTAACACTTCGGGTGTTTCAACAAATGTACACTCCTGCATAACCACGACCCCAATTCATACATAGATTATTTTTATCAGCCTACCAGTTTCCTTCTGATCCACTGTGGTCAGTGCCTTCTTTCCATCCCCAGCCCCTGACAACGACTGACATGATTTCTGTCACCACAGATTAGGAGTGCCTTTTTTTGGAATTTCGTATACATGAAATAATGGATGAGGTACTCTTTTGTGTTTAGCTTCTTTTTTTCAGGATAATGAAACATTCCTCCACCTGAATGAATGAATTAGCCATTTATTTTTGTTACTGAGTTGTATTCAATTTTGTGAATATATTAGTTTCTTTATTCACGTATGTGTTCTTTCTTTTGCCACACCCAATCTGCTGTTGAGCCCGTCCCATGAATTTTTTAGTTGATACAGTCCTAAATTCTAAGATTTCCTTTTGTTTCCTTTTTGTGGTTTTGCGTTTCTCTGTTGAGATTTTCTTTCTGTTCACTTATTAAGAACTCAATTTTTGGAATACATATTCTTTTAGTTCTTTGTACATATTTATTTAGCACTTTATATTTGTCTGCTAAATTCAATAACTTGTGCCAACTCAAAGCGACTTTCTGTTTTCTTTTTTCATATGTGTGGCTGGGCTGGGAGGCCATGATGTACAGGGAGTTTTGCTGCTTTTTCCCATTCAATGTGGCACCTATTCTGTTATGACTGTTTTTATCACCACCTTTCAGCAACATCATCAAGAAGATGGGACCTTCACCATGCTTCTGCCCATACTCGGGTAAGGAATATAAAGTCTTTGAGGAATTGCAAATCTTTGAGTCTTGCACCTCTTGGATGAAGTCTTTGAGGAATTGCAAATCTTTGAGTCTTTCACCTCTTGGATGATCGAGGATTGAGGACTCTGCTCCACTTCTTGGCTTCTCATACCTGATCAGAACCTAGAACACCTTCATGATATCTCAATCTCATAAAAGGAAGGGTGATTTCCTCCCCTCCTTCCTTACTCCAAATAAACATAATCACAGATTACAGAATATGGCCCACACTTCCTCTTGTGTCTGCTTCTCAAAAAGATCCTTCCCAGGACAGAAAGATGACTCAGTTCCTGCCCTCAGGGTGCTGTCACAGTTATAAGCCTCTCCCAGACCGAGCCAGGTACTGATAGGCCAACTGCCACAACAGCGTGCTCAAAAGCCCTTTCCGGAGAGTGGGCTGGGTCAGCTTCTGAATGGGCTTCCTAAGCAGCAGTTAACCTTGGAGCTCAGAGTGAGGCCCGTTGCAATTGTTTCCAGAACGCTGCAGCTTTGGAGGACAGCCAATCAGAGAGACATCACAACACTTTCACTCTTCCCCCAGAACTACATACATCTAGCTAGAATCCTTTTAAAGTAAGTTTACATCCAAGATATGTCCTTTTCTTGCTATGAGGAAGAACCTCTCAATGTACTGTGTTAGAGAGAGAATTACTCCAGCATTAAGAGGAAAAAGAAAAATCAAGGGAAAAAATATATACAATTATATATAAACATATATCTGCATATATGAAAACAAAATAATATTTTAAATAGTATAACATTTCATTGCACATTTGCTTGTTCAGATCCCTTTTAGTGCTCATTAATGCCTTCAGGATAATGTACAGGCATCTTATAATGGCTTATAATTATTTTCACAAAGTGATTTCTGCCTATTGCTTTCATTTTATATTTACTTTGCCCATTCTGAGTTGTATGCTCCAGCCATTCTGAATTCCTTTAATGTAATTCTCCTAAACTAATTTTGTCTTTATACTTTTGGATATTCTATTTCTCTTTTTCTGTAATACTCTTTCTCTGACTCCCTCTTTGATAAATGTTTTCTAAGTAAGACATCACCTGTCCCAGGTAGCTTTCCATTACACTCTGTTTCCAATTTAGATGCCTGTTAGGTGGTTTTTATTTCACTTGCCTCTTATGGTAGCTTTGATCACACTATTTTGTAATACACTCCACAATATTACATGTTTCCTGAAGGCAGACACAATGCTGATTTCTTTTTGATTGAATCTCCTGTATTCAAGTCTAAGGTACATTTCAGGTGTCCAATACATGAACTATTAGAAGAATCTCAAGTAAATAGAGAAGACATTTGGCAACTTCACAAAGAATGTGATTACTCATTTGTAAAATTGAGAATATGGTTACTTTGCATTGTTAGTTTGAAAAATGTAAATAAATAAATATTTAATTTTATTCATGACATAACCTTGGCTTTCTGTTCTAAAGTTCACTATGATCTTTACTGTCTGGTATGCGGGGAGGTGGGGCTGAGAGCAGAGGGAGAGGGACAAGCAGACTCCGTACTGGGTGGGAATCCCATAGGACTTGATCCCAGGACCCCAGAACCCTGGGATTGATCATGCCCTGAGCCAAAGGCAGACACTTACCTGACTGAGCCACCCAGGTACCCCTCCCCTGTGCTGTTCCTATTTTTAAGATCACTTTCCCCACCTTTACTGTTCTTCAAGTTGATTAACTCCTACTAAACTCCAGGCCTCACCTTAGGTATCACATCACAGACTCTACATTGTTTTTGACTCACTACTAAGGCTGGGTGGGGGTGGAATCTATATGCCTTCAGATCAGCCTTTGCTGTCTTAAGCTTAGTTCTTGACTCATTTTAGAGTACAAATTCAGTGAGAGAAGATATTATTTATTTTCTCATAGCTCCTTTTTTCCCAGCATGTAACACATATATAGAATTTAGCAGGTACTCAATGATTAACTGTTGGTTGATTGAATGAATAAAATGAATGAATGAATGAATGAATAAAATCCGAGAGCCACATTAGCTGGTACTACACATGAAGTCCAGATATGAGATGCTAAGAAGTTGATCATTTGTTCAAGATGACCTGGCATGCTCATGGCTAGGTTAACGGTAGAAAGCAACTCTTTATCAATGTCATTTCTCAAGTATATCAAATAAGGAAAGCATATAGATTAATGAGCATGGGACTGAATAAATGTGAACACAGTAGAAATAGAGCTTGACCAAAAATAATATGGATGAGTTTGTATATAGCATTCCCTTTTTAGTATGGTGTTTTCCGTACTCTTAGGAATGTAGAAAAAGTATCAATCTAACCCGCATTATAGCCTCCCTCATACATAGACATGGAATAGGGTAAATATAAATGACAAGCAGAGTGAAAAATGTCCATTGTAATGGGACTTATAACTAAGTTTTAATAATTTATAAATCATGTTAAATCTAACTGAAGATGAGAAAAGGTATTTGATTTATTGACTTAGGATGTTAGAAATAGTTTTGTTAAGAACAGGAATGTGCAATAACTAGACTGATAATCCATATCGCCGTATTTTTTGAAATTTAAATGAACTGCACAGTATCACTTGTATGTGAAATCTTTTTTAAAAAGTTGAACTTACAGAAAGGAGTAGAAAAGTGGTTGTGAGGAGCTGAGCAGTAAAAGAAATAGGGAGAGGTTGGGGAAAAAATAAAAAATAAATGATAAAAAATTGAATCCATAATAATATACAGCATATAATAAATATTAAAATATATATAGATAAATAGTATGTGCTATATAAGATAGTATATAATATTCTATCATGTTATATATATATATATTTTCCCAGCCAGCTCTTGCTGTTGTGGAATATACATATGAGGAATATATATATATATATATATACACATTATATATGCACAATATATAGTGATATAGTGTGGTGGGAATCTGAGACTTGCTTTGGCCAATTTGGTATTGCAAGTTGTGATGGAAGTAAAGGTTTAAAAGATGTTTTCATGTTTCAAGTCTTGCTCCCCCATGATTGCCATGGAAATATGCCTGACCTAGGCTGCTGGACGATAAGGCAGGTGGAGAAGAGTTGAATAGTCTTAGTTATCCTAGACAAGGCCATTCCAGACCATCCAACTGCCTATCGATCTTCAGACATAACAGTGAGCTCGGCCAAGCCCGGAAGTGTTCATCTGTGCCCAGTCTAAATTGTCAATTCACAAATTTCTGAGTGAAATGATTTGCTGTTTTAAGCCTCTCAGTTTTAGAGTTATGCCCCATTATTGTAACAGTCACTTACAGATATAGCAGGAGATGTGGGTACTTAATTGAACAGCCTGTGGTGTGGCTTTGAGAAGATAAACATATGTTGTATTACAGGAGAATAGGTAGGCTCTCTAGTGAGCTCTGTATTGACTCCATGATTAGATGTCTCATGGTTCCAGAGCTCTGGAATCTCTGAGCCCATCCAAAATGGAATGACTATTGAAATTGTCTCCTGTGTAATGTAGCTTCCTAACTCAGGGGCCACTTTCAATGGCCACATGATTTTATTCTTAAAAAGATATTTCAGGAGGGAGACAAAAAATTAAGAGATTCTTAATCTCATAAAACAAACTGAGAGTTGCTGGGAGTTGGGGGTAGGGATAGGGTGGCTGGGTTATGGACATTGGGGAGGGTATGTGCTATGGTGAGTGCTATGAAATGTGTAAGCCTGATGATTCACATACCTGTACACCTGGGGCAAATAATACATTATATGTTAATTTAAAAAACATAAAATCAAACAAGCAAGATAAAGTAGAAGAAAAGAAAGATATTTCAGGAATGCTTTTAGCTTTTTGTGAAGAATCAGGAGAAAGTTCCTTTGCAAATATTAAACACACACACACACACACACACACACACAAACACATGTACACAAACTACACTACACATACATGATGTACACAAGTAGTCTCTCGTTTTCTCCAGAGAGCCATGGGTGTTTCATCCTATTTCTCTTTTTCTTTCTAATAGTTGGCATCTTTTTTCTCTTTTCAGCTTGAAATTCTACATTTAAGGGACTGAGAATTCAAGACATGAAGAAAAAATTTTTTCATAGAAATCCAGGTTGACTAAGTTCCTTCTATTCATCACATAAGTGAAAAACAAAAAACCCGTGGTCAGTAAACATTTGAGTGGAATCATATACTCAGTGGACTGCAGTATCAACTTGTTCTAGCCTATATTTCACAGAAATCTTAGTGACTAATAAAATTGCTAAAGTCATAAAAATTGACATTGGGGAAGTTAGAATATAAAACACCAGGATATTTTTTATTAGCTATGACGCTCATTTCATTACCACTCATTTGTTGGAAAGGGGACTCCCAGGTAAGTAACTTGGGCCAGTCAGATCACTTAAGTCTGAAGCCGCAAACTGCTTATGTTTTTGATTAACTGACAAGCTACTGGAGACTCCTGATTAATACACATTTGGGATATTTGGGATATTTCTTACATCTTCTAAGTCTTAGAATGATCTTGGCCTGGTTCTTCACACTTTGAACTGCATCCTACATACTCAAATGCGATGTAACCATCTCATCAGGATGGCTACCCAAAACAAGATCCTTGCAGCTGACCGTCTTCATGACATGCTTTTATTTATTATCATGATCCACAGGGCAGCACCTTTTACTGATGGACAGTGTGTCAAATAGTTCAATGTCTTCCTCAGGAAAAGAAAACACAGTAAGTGATTTACTGAAGCAATGCTTGGAAGTATCTTGTGAGTGATGAAACAAATAAATGATTGTGACTTATAACATGTACATCCTCAAATGCATTTAATGTAAAGGTACAATTATCCAGAAGCAATGATTAGAGATTATTTTGTTTATTTGACACAAAAATGAAGCACATAATTGCTAGTACTTAAAGGTACACAAACATTCACTGGGAGAACTTGCAGTAGGACCCTGGTTTCCCCATCTCGACGGAATCTTTTCCCCTGAGCTACAGGGGAAAGAAACTATATCTTCATTCCAGGGTCTGGTGGGATCAAAGCATCAGCAGAGATGGGTGCTTTAGCTAAATAGTAGCCTCTCTAAAAGTGAGACTGATTAGACTTTTTGACACCCTAAGACCCAAGGAACATCCTTAACTCATTTGTAGGACTTGCTATGTATCTAGTCTTCTTTAATGTTCATCCCACTCACCTACTTTAAAGCACAGCCTCTCTTACTGCTGTGTATAAATGGAAGCAGGTAGGTGCCTCCCAGTAGAGACCCCAAAGAGGCAAGGACCCAGCTGCAGGTTAGGGTATAGGCTGCAGGTGCCTGGAGAACATTGTGCACTTGCTGCACAGAGGTACAAGGCTGAGTCTCCAGGCTGGGAGCCTGCGATGTGCAGGGACAGGTGTTTGGCACTTTTGTTGAAGAAGACTGTGAATCTTCCATCTTCATTTTTATCTGTAACTGAGCGTATCGATATCAGGAAATTGGGACCTTTAGCAGGATATTTTTTGTACCATGAGAAGTAATCAAATAAATCATTATTGTGGTCACAGTTCAGAATAGAAATCTTTCCTTCTTGCACACTTAAGGATGGAGTTTGCTTGACCTGCTGCTGGTCACCCTTCTGTTGACTAGTCACCCCTGTTCAGAAAGAGAATAAGAGATTTTAAATTTTACTCTTAAAGTCCCCACAGAAAAACATCATAAGCCAGAACACAAAACAAAATAAAACACAACTTCCCAATTATGTCATCTCCCAGCCTTGGGTTGCCTCGTGGAGGTTTTCTGCCAGATTCAGACTTCCCGCCCAGAACTCACAGTCTGGTTGAAGCCACAGAATCAAGAGTGATGCTCCCAGGAGCTTGTCCATTTCTCCTGTGGACTCAGGCTGTCTTCTCTTCTGCCCAAGCAACCATAAATCTGACTTCAACTTCCTGCACTTTGTCCATTTCCTTCCCCAGAGCCTCCTATTTCGCATATGAACAACCTTGTTTTTAGCTGTTTATCTTTATGAAAGAGAGCACTGCCCCCTTTAGTCCTCATGTAGAAATATCTGAAAATGCATTTCTCTGTTCCTAAAAATCAGTTTGCAATCCCTGCCCCATAAAAATGTTAAAATAAGAGAGTGGTGGTGTTTTGGGAGAACACAGGGTATGATGTCTTTATCATGGTTACAGATTTAGAACACAGGGAGTTTGATAGCTTAGCCTTTAATGTAATCGCATTGTAACATGGTCTTTAAGGCTATCTATACTTGCCCTGAGTAAATAAATGCCACAAGGCAATTAATGCTCATATAAATTCTGGACACTTCTCTTAAAAACACAAATCAACACAACAGAATCTATCCTCTGTATTAAATCATCCTCTGCATTGGATTGTCTCTCTTAGAACTGAGATGTGATCATTTCGTGTATTCTTTATTGTCAAATGAGAAAATATTACATAATCCTGTAAAGTTTATAAACAGCATGAAGCCATAATCTTGAAAGGCACCAGAAGTTGCCAAAAGGCAGCATGTTTGTTTATATTCACTCTTGGTCTATATAATAGCTTATGTCTCCCCATTTGAATCTAATGGACTAGGCAAGAAGAATCTATTTGTGTTTTCAATGCTTAATCAGTAGGGCAACTAATGATTTCAGCTAATGATAAATCTCAAAATAAGTTTTTAGAATTGATTTGAGCAAAGACACAGAACACAAAATAAATAATTTTCAATGTGTGTTTTATATGGGAAGAAACATTTTAGGGGCACCTGGGTGGCTCAGCGGGTTAAGCCTCTGCCTTCAGCTCTGGTCATGGTCTCAGGGTCCTGTGATCAAGCCTGGCATCGGGCTCTCTGCTCAGCAGGGAGCCTGCTTCCCCCTCTCTCCCTGCCTGCCTCACTGCCTACTTGTGATCTCTCTGTCAAATAAATAAATAAAATCTTTTTTTTTTTAAAGAAACATTTTTAAATTTTATTTGAATAATAATGAAACTGATATTCCAGGTCACACTAACCAACCAATTCAGGACAATCTGATAAGTTGTCTGTGTTTCATATTATAGAGTTTAAACCCTTATAATTCACACTTTCTAGTGAAGGAATGTTCTCTGACTCATTCATGTATTTAAATATTTTATCAACATTTATTTCATTTCTATGAGGTACCTGGCACTGTGTTTGGTTTAAGGTTCTAGACATAGTTATGGAACAATCTTTGATCTTAAACACTTGTTGGTCTAAATTGGATGACTAATGTGAAGCTACATCCTTACAACATGGCATGATATGTAAGAGTTCTTACTGAGGAAAACACAATGGTTATTTTGTTATGGTGGCTCTAGCAAGCACAT